AGGAAACAGACACTGAAATTCAAGAGGCACAGAGAACAGCCCCCAGATGTACCTTGAATTGATCTTTTGCACAACATATCACAGTGAACCTGCCAAAATATTAGGACAAAGGGAGAATTCTGAAAGCAGACAGGGATAAAACTTCCCTAACATACAAAGGGAAATCTATCAGAGTGGTTACCGACCTATCTACTGAAACAGGGCAGGCCAGAAAGGAATGGCAGGAAATCTTCAATGTGATGAATAGAAAAAATATGCAGTCAAGAAGCCTCTATCCAACAAACCTGTAATTCAGAATAGAAAGAGAGATAAAAGTCTTCCCAAATAAACAAAAATTAAAAGAATTCATCACCACTAAACTTGCCCTAAAAGAAATCCTGAGGGGGACTCTATGAGGGAAATGTTGCAAGGAATGCAAGATAGCAGAGACACACCACAACCATGAATCTTACAAACAACACAATGACTCTAAACCTATATTTTTCAATAATAGCACTGAATGTAAATGTACTACATGCTCCAATCAAAAGACATAGGGTAGCAGAATGGATTAAAAAAAAAAAACAAAAAAACCAAGATCCATGTATTTGCTGTCTACAAGAGACTCATTTTAGACCTGAGGAGACCTTCAGATTGGAAGTAAGGGGATGGAGAAATATCTATCATGCTACTGAAAGCCAAAAGAAAGCTGGAATAGCCATACTTGTATCAGACAAACTGGACTTTAAAGTAAGGTTGTAACAAGGGAAGAAGAAGGGCATTATATAATAATTACAGGGTCTATCCATCAGGAAGAGCTAACAATTATAAATGTCAATGCACCAAATATAGAAGCACCCAAATACATAAAACAATTAATCACAAACAGAAACAATCTTATGGATAAGAATGTGTTAATAGCAGGGGACTTTAATACTCCACTTAGAGCAATGGATAGGTCAACCAGACAGAAAATCACTAAAGAAACAATGGACTTAAATGACACTTTGGACCAGATGGTTTGACAGATATATATACAACTCTACATCCAGAGGCCATGGAATTCACTTTCTTTTCAAGTGCACATGGCACATTCTCCAAGATAGATAACATACTGGGTCATAAAGCAGCCCTCAATAAATGTAAAGAATTGAGATCATACCGTGCACATTTTCAGATCACAATGCTATGAAACTTGAAATCAATCACAGGAAGAAGTCTGGAAAACCTCCAAAAACATGGAGGTTAAAGAGCACCCAATTAAAGAAAGAATGGGCCAATCAGGCAATTAGAGAAGAAATTAGAACACATACGGAAACAAATGAAAATGAAAACGCAATTCAAACTCTTTGGGATGCAGCAAAGGCAGTCTTAAGAGGAAAGTACATTGCACTCCAGGCCTATTTCAAGAAATTAGAAAAAGCACAAGTACAAAATCTAACAGCGCACCAAAAGGAACTAGTAGGAGAGCAACATGAGCACCCTAAACCCAGTAGGGGAAGAGAAATAATAAAAATCAGGGCAAAATAAACAATAAAGAATAAAAAAAATAAAAAAACAGGTGAACAGATCAATAAAACCAAGAGTTGGTTTTTTGAAAAAATAAACAAAATTGAGAAACCACTAACCATGCTTCACAAAAAGAAAAGAGAGAGGCACCGAAACAGACAAAATCATGAATGAAAATGGACTTATTACAACAAACCTCTCAGAAATACAAGCAATTATCAGGGAATACTATGAAAAATTATATGCCAAGAAGCTGGACAACCTAGAAGAAATGGACAAATTCCTAAACATGCACTCACTACCAAAATTCACACGGGAAGAGATAGAAATCTGAACTGACCCGTAACTAGTGTAGAAATTGAATCATTATCAAAAATCTCCCAAGAAATAAGAGCTGTGGGCCAGATGGCTTCCCTGGGGAATTCTACCAGACATTTAAAGCAGAGTTAATACCCATTCTTCTCAAGCTATTCTGAAAAATAGAAATGGAAGGAAAACTTCGGACTCATTCTACAAAGCCAGCCACTTTGATCCCCAGCCAAACAGACACCCAGCAAAAAAAGAGAACTACAGGCCAATATCCTTGATGAATACAGATGCAAAAATCCTCAACAAGATACTTGCAAATCGAATCCAACACTACATAAAAAGAATTATCCACCATGATCAAGTGAGATTCATTCCTGGGTTACAGGGCTGGTTCAATATTCACAAATCAATCCATGTGACACATCACATTAACAAAAGAGAAAACCTATGTATCTTGTCGCTACATGCAGAAAAAGCATTTGATAAGATATAGCATCCCTTCTTAATAAGGACCCTCGAGAAAGTCAGGATAGAAGGAACTGACTTATACATCATAAAAGCCATTTATGAGAAGCCCTCAGCTAACATCATCCTCAACGGGGAAAAACTGAGATCTTTCCCCCTGAGATCAGTAACACGACAGGGATATCCACTCTCACCACTATTGTTTAACATAGTGCTGGAAGTCCTAGAATCAGCAACCAACAACAAAAGAAAATAAAAGGCATCAGAGTTGGCACAGAAGTTAAACTTTCATGTTTCTCAGAAGACATGATACTCTACATAGAAAACCCAACAGATTTCACCACAAGCCTACTAGAACTGATCCATGAATTCAGCAAAGTTGCAGGGTAAAAAATCAATGTACAGAAATCGGTTGCATTTTTATACACCAATAATAAAGCAACAGAAATAGAAATCAAGGAACTGATCCCATTCACAATTGCACAAAAACCATAAAATACCTAGGAATAAACCTAACCAAAGATATAGGAGATCTGTACAATGAAAACTATAGAGAACTCATGAAGGAAATTGAAGACACAAAGAAATGGAAAAACATTCCATGCTCATTGATGGGAAGATTAAATATTGTTAAAATGTCATTACTACCCAAAGCAATCTACACATTCAATGCAATCCCAATCAAAATTGTACCAGCATTCTTCTCAAAACTAAAGAAACTATCTTAAAATTTGTATGGAACCACAAAAGACCCTGAATAGCCAAAGTAAGATTGAAGAAAACCTGAACAGGAGGCATCACCATCTCAGACTTTAGCCTCTACTACAAAACTGTCATCATCAAGACAGTAAGGTATTGGCACAAAAACAGACACATAAACCAATGGAATAGAACTGAGAACTCAGAATTGGACCAACAAATGTATGGCCAACTAATTTTTGACAAAGCAGGAAAGAGTATCCAATGGAAAAAAGACAGCCTCTTTAACAGATGGTGCTGGGAGAACTGGACAGCAATGTCCAGGAGAATGAATTTATATCATTTTCTCACACCATACACCAAAATAAACTCAAAATGGATAAAAGACCTGAATGTGAGACAGGAATCCATGAAAACCCCAGAGAAGAAAACAGTAAACAACTTCCTTGAATTCAACCGCAGCAATTTCTTACCTGACACATCCCCAAAGGCAAGGGAATCAAGAGCAAAAATGAACTATTGGGACCTCATCAAGATAAAAATCTTCTGCACGGTAAAGGAAACAATCCATAAAACTAATAGGCAACTGACAGAATGGGAAAAGATAGTTGCAAATGACATATCAGATAAAGGGTTAGTATCCAGAATCTATAAGGAACTCACCAAACTCCATACCTGAAACAAAATTATCCAGTGAAGAAATGGGCAGAAGACATGAACAGACACTTCTCCAAAGAGGACATCCAGATGGCCAACAGACACATGATACGATGCTCAGTTTCCCTCATCATCAGGGTAATGCAGATCAAAACCACACTGAGATACCACCTCACGCCGGTCAGAGTGGCTAAAATAAACATATCAGGAGACTCTAGATGCTGGCGAGGCTGTGGAGAAATGGGTACCCTCCTACACTTTTGGTGGGAATGTAAAGTGGTGCAGCCCCTCTGGAAAACGGTATGCAGGTTCCTCAAAAAATTAACAGTAGAACTCTCCTATGACCCAACAATAGCACTGCTAGGAATTTACCCAAGGGATACAAGAGTGCTGATGCATAGGAGCACATGTACCCCAATGTTCATAGCTGCACTCTCAACAATAGCCAAAACATGGAAAGAGCCTAAGTGTCCTTCAACGGATGAATGGATCAAGAAGATGTGGTTTCTATACAATGGAATCCTACATGGCAATGAGAAAGAATAAAATCTGGCCATGTGTAGCATCATGGATGGACCTAGAGGGTGTTATGCTGAGCGAAATAAGTTAGGCAGAGAAGGACAGATACCATTATGTTTGCACCTATAGGTGGATTAGGAGGAACTTAATGGAGGACCATGGGGGAGAAGAAGGGGAAAAATAGTGGGGGAGAGGGAGGGAGGCAAACCATGATAGACTCTTGAATGCTGAGAACAAACTGAGGGCTGATGGGGGTGGGGGAGAGGGGAAGGTGGGTGATGGGCACAGAGAAGGGCCCTTGTGGCGATAAGCACTGGATGTTATATGGAAACCAACTTGAAAATAAACTAAGGAAAAAAAATGAATATACAATACAGATACCAACTAAAAATTGTGTGCAGTTATTAAATTCAATTTTTAATAAGCAACAAACTAAAACCTCTTAAGAACTGATGTGCTGCACATTGGTATTGATATTAAAATGATTAGTAGAAAGCAGTCAATAAGAGATTCAGAAATGTAAGACACTTGCTTGTTTTATAGTCATTGCATTTTAATAGAAAAGAAATACAGGGGCGCCTGGGTGGCTTAGTCGGTTAGGCGTCCGACTTTCGCTTAGGTCATGATCTCGCGGTTCGTGGGTTCGAGCCCCGCGTCGGGCTCTGTGCTGACTGCCAGCTCGGAGCCTGGAGCCTGTTTCAGTCTGTGACACCCTCTCTCTCTGGCCCTCCCCTGCTCACGCTGTCTCTCTCTCTCTCCTAGAAATAAATAAAACATTAAAAAAAAATTAAAAAAAAAAAGAAAAGAAAAGAAAGAAATACACATTCATTTTTATAATCAGTGTTTATTTTCTGTATGTATTATTTGTACTTCAAAAAAACAATTTCTAGCATTAACCATTTAAAACTCATTCATGCATTTTATTACACATTCTATAGCAAAGACTAAGAAGCAGGCAAGAATGATTATGGCAAACAGCCTAATTATAGAAAATAACATATATTTTTACACTACAACATTTGATACTAATTTTTTGTTTATTGAAAAAAGGATTTGTTTCATGCATATTCTAGATTTTTTCATATCACAGTATTAGTTTCCTAGGGGCTGTGTAACAAATTACCACATATCGGGTGGCTCTGAAGATCAGAAACATGTTCTCTCGTGGTTCTGGAATCTGAAGGTCTAAAATAAAGTTGTCAGCAAAGATCTACTTCAGACTGAGGGAGAATATCTTCCATTCTTCTCTTCTAGGTTCTAATGGTTGCCAGCAACCTTTGGTGTCCTTTTTCTTGTAGATGTATCATTCTGGTCTCTGCTTTTATCTTCATGCAGCACTCTTCCCTGTGTCTCTTTCTTTCTTCTCTTCTTAGGACAGCAGATGTATTAGATTAAGGGCCTCTCTGCTTCACTATGACTTCAGCTTAAGTACTTACATCTGTAGTGACCACAGTGCCAAATAAGGTCATATTCTGATGTTCTCAGAAGGACATGAATTTTGGAGGGAAAACACTATTCAACTCAGTGCAGTTACTCTCCATTTAACATTAAAGACAAAAATCACTAGACTATACAGGATCTAAACATGACTGATGAATAAGTGGATCATTGTTATCTATGAGTGTGATCTCTTACTTTCCAATCAGATACATATATGGGAATTCACCTTATGGAATCTTTCTCATTCACAAATATGACTTACATGCAAAGAGAAACTTAAACATTTTTTTTCCAGAAAAGATCAGTGGATTAACCTAAGTGAATTCACTTCTTTCTAATTTGAGGACATTGCTCCCCAGAATATTTTGTAATTCTGAATAATGACAAATTACTTTCACTGCAGAATTGCTCAGATCTGAATACAGCCTATAATGTAAAAGTTGCAGGTCACCTGGGTGGTGCAGTCTGTTAAGCATTCAACTCTTGATCTTGGCACAGGTCATGATCTCACAGTCTGTGAGTTCAAGCCCTGCATCAGACTTTACAGTGATGGCGCAGAACCTTCTTGGTATTCTGTTCTCTCCTTCTCTCTGCCCCTAACTTGCTTGTGCTCTCTCTCTCTCTCTCAAAATAAGTAAACAAAATTAAAAAATAAAGTAAAAGTGGCAAACAAGCTTGAGAACAAAAGTTAAATATTACAGAGGTAGATAAAGAAAATCTAAGTATTTAATTTATATATTTTGCCCACAGTTATGTTAATATTTTATTCACTTATATTCACCAATTCACAATGTTATCATAGTTGAGAGAATGAATTTTTCCTATATTTGAATAGTTTACTAATAGTTATACTATTATATTAATAGTATAAATATAATTTCAGGGACAACTACTTAAGAAAGCAGTCTTTTATATAGATCTTTAATCAAGATGCCAATGTACCCTTTGACTAATTTTATCTCTCATTCATCCTTCAAGTCATAATTCAAGCATCACATTGTCAGACCCGGTTTCCTTCAGTAAATGAAATCCCTACTAGATGTTCTTATCCCTGTAATGCTTCTTTGTAGCTACTGTGTTAATTTTACATTGACTTTTGTGATTATTTAACTACCATCACTCTTCTCCACTAGACTCTAAACTCCACAGGACAGACACTGTGATATATGTGTATTTTACTCACCTTTGTTTCTCTGCCTAGTTTAGTACTTGCTGAATAACTAAAAAAAATTAGAAATGCTTATTTACATATAACAAGTTGATATATAAATTATATATAAATTTCATTAAGAATCCCCTACCAAGTGAATGTCTCCTGAAAAAACATTTTGCTATTACAGCTACTGTTGGGTATGTAAAAACATTAAAGGGAACATTCATTTTAATATCTTTAATATATCCTATACTTTTCTATTGCAATAGACTTGGTTTAATTATTTTGAATAGCTCAGTTATAAAATGCAGGATTCAAATGATGACAGATTTTATTATTTGTCAAAGGCATTCTGGGATATTATTAAAATAAATACACTTGACTTAAAATGTAGGTTTTATGAAACATTCTCTATGAGGGCTATTGGCAATTCTCCATTTTTACTTTCAATATATAAAATATAGTATATATCATATTGCAAAATCCCTTTAAAACAATGAACACTATAGTTTCAAAAGTGACGTTTATCAGTATGATCCATTTTAAAAATAATACTTGAAAAATCTGCATAATACCTATATTTGGGAAATATAGTACTACTAATTAATTATTCCTAAATAGAGATGAAAATTTCTTTGATGATCTTTACTTACTTATTATTTCTTATTACTTGATCCATAGAAAGTCTGTTGCAAATCTGAATATCTAAATTCAGAATTTAGAAAATGCAGATACAATTATAATCTCTATCTTTTGACAGATTGAGTGTTCATATTTAAATAAATACACATAGTACTCTTCTTTATAAAAAATGTCCATGATTAGAGAAAGGACTACATTTCAAAAGCCAAATATAATACTCAGATAGAGACACTGCTCCAGTTTTGAGATGTTGTTGCTCCTAGAGTTGACCTTTCTGTGTCATGCCAGTATTTCTCATATTTTCTAAGAAAAAAAAAAAGGTAAATACCCTCAAATTCTACACATATATAGTACATCTGTTTCTCTATATATCCCATACTTCCTTATATTAAGCCATTCAGGAATATCACATACAAAAACAGAAACCGTGAGGAAAAACTTGAAGGACCACATGACGAAAACTTTCTTTATCATAATTTGATGGCTGCTCTAAGCTTGGCTGAGCGTGCTCTGGGGTTATCCTGCACATCCTGATCTTCTGGAGTAAGTACTTTCTTGTGTATCAATTTCCACACTAAAGGGGCTTTGCTTATAGAGTCTCCTTCCTTGTTTTCATGACCTGAACCTAACTGTGATGCTTGTATCACCTTCTGTCTAGCACTTAGGTTAAACCTTTCTGTCATGCTTATCCCAAGCAAGAATCGTTTGACAATGCGATCCTCTAATGAATGGAAGGAGAGGGCAACAAGGCGACCACCAGGTCTCAGAAACTTCTGAGCTGTCTTCAATCCTGTGTAAAGTTCATTAAGCTCATTGTTCACAAATATTCGAAAAGCTTGGAAAGTCTTGGTAGCAATATGGGTAGATCGTTGTAGCATGTCTTTTCGCGCAAAAATAGCAGATGGAGGAAATGCACCTATGAAAAAACATTTTGTAAAAACAGGAAAAAAGGAGAGGAAAAATTAATATTTTCCACTCTAAGTCTACTGGGTTGTGTTGTGTGTGCATATAATTAAAGAACTGAGTTTCCTTAGAAAATTGTGGCATTCCATCCATACTTTGCCATTTTTATTTCTAAGCATTCCAGCAAGATTCAAACTATTGTGTCAGAAACAGCTTTCATAACTCATAAGAGTAATGAACTCATAAGAGTAATGAACATCAAATAAGGAGCAGAGAAAGAGACAATTTTTTGAAAAAATAATGATTAAAAAAATTTCCAACTTGGGTGAAAGACATTAATTCACTGATGCAAGAAGTTCAGTGAACCCCAATAGAATGAAAAAAAGAAAACTGCATCTATGCACATCATAATCACACTACTACAAGCTAAAGATAATCAGAAAAATCTTGAATACAACAAAGAAATAAATTACATAAAGGAGAACAAAAATGTGATTAATAGTTATTTTCTCATTAGAACAATGGAAGTTATAAAGTACTGGAATAATATTCAAATTGTTAAGGAAAAAAACCTGTGTTCCAAGAGGGCTACCTAAAAGTATTCTTCAGAATTAAAGTTCAAAGACATTTTTAAATGAATAAAAAATGAGAGGATTCATTGCTAATACGTCTGCATTCAAGAAATGCTAAAGGAAATACTTCATGTTGAAGTAAAGTGACACCAGATGATAATTTGCATATACAGAAAAAAAGAGATTATAGATATATCTTTATATATTAATTCCTCTCTTACTTTCTTTAAAGACAGGACTCTGTAAGTGAAATTATAACAGTTTTTTACATTTATATATTTTAATATAGATATAATATAGATATAGCCTGTATATGATAGGCAATAGTACAAAGGATTAGAGGGGGTAAATGGAACTATACTTTTGCAAGATTCATATGTTTTGCTGGAAGTTAAAGTTGCATATTACAGTCCCTAGAGCAATCAATAAAAATAATGCAAGGAAATAAAGCTAATGAACTAAAACAGAATAAAAATAGTACACAAAAATTATTGTTTAACACAAAAGACAGAAAAGAACAAAACAAAAATGAGATAAAGAGAAGATAAACAGTAAAATGGCAGACAATAAAACCAAATATATCAATAATTACATAAAGTATAAATGTACTCAATGTCCCAATATAAATGCAGACGTCATCTGACTGAAAAATCATGAGACCTAATTATATATTGCCTACAGAAATGTACTTTAAATATAAAATCAAATAAAAGTGAAAGTAAGGAACAAGCTGTAAAAAGATATGCCATGTAGACAGATGCATAAAAAAGAAGGTCATTATATATTATTATGTAATAACATATAATAATAATAATAATAATAATAATAATAAAAACAACAGGAAAAAACAAGTTTTTAAAAAAGGAGAATTCCTAGACCCAAAGAGAAACATTTCCTATTGACAAAAAGGTCAATACGGAAGGAAGATACAACTTTAAGTGTATATGCACTAAATAACATAGTTCTCAAAATGTCAATGAAAGAGATTATCTGTACAAAAGAAGATGAACTTAAAATCTTACTGCACACTATACACAAAAACTAATACAAAATGGATCACAGATCTAAGAGTAAACACTAAACATAAAATATATATCTGACAAAACTCTCTTATCCAGAATATACGAGAAAATCTCACAATTTAATAAAAAGAAGCCACACCACCTATTTGAAAAAAGGACAAAAATTTGGACAAACACTTCACAAAAGATATACAAAACGTCAATAAATATATGTAAAGACATTCATCATTATTAGTCATAAAAATGCACATTAAAACCGTAATGAAATACCACTACACATCCACTAGAACTGCTCAATCCTAGAAAGCAATAAACTACTGAGATTGACCCAAAAAGGAAATAGATAATCTGAACAGAACTATTACAAGTGAAAGGATTAAATCAGTAATCAAAAACAACCCCACAAAGAAATGTCCAAGCCCAGATGGCTTCACTGCTAAATTGTGCCAAGCATTCAAAGAATTAGTAACAATAGTTCACAAATGCTTCCAAAAAAATTGAAGAAATGAAAGCACTTCTCAAATTACATTATGAGGTCAGTATTACTATGAAACAAAAACCAAAGGCATCACAAAAAAATTACAGATCAATATCTCTTATGAATATAAACATTAAAATCCTCAATAAAATACTAGCAAACTGAATTCAGCAGCATATTAAAAGAATTATATGCCATGACCAAGCCAGATGGTCATGACCAAGGATAGCTCAACATATGAAAACTGATCAATGTAATATACTGCATTGATGGAATGAAGGAAAAATACTCCCACATGATCATTTCAATTGATTCAGAAAAAATATCTGAAAAAATTCAACACTCTTCCATTATAAAAACACTCAAGAACTAGGAATAGAAATAAAGTACCTCAACATAAAGAAGCCCATATATGAGAACCCAGGGCTAACATTACACTTAATAGTGAAAGACTGAAAGCTTTTCTTCAAAGATCATGAATAAGACAAGGATACCCATTTTTACCACTTCTATTCAACACAGTACTGGAGGTTCTAGTCAAGGAATCAGACCAGAAAAAGAAATAAAAAGCATCCAGATTGGAAAGGAAGAAGTAAAATTATCTCTGTTTACAGAGGACAAGATCTTATAAGTAGACAACAATAAAGATTGCACACATACACACCTTGTGAGAACTAACAAATGGATTCAGCAAAGCATCAGTATATAAAATTAACATGTGCAAATTAGTTACATTTCTACACTTATTAATAAACAGTCCAAAAATGAAATTTAAATAATTTGATTCAAAATAGTATCAAAAAGAATCAAATACTTAGGAATAAAGTTAACAAAAGAAACGTGAAACTTACGGGAACTACAAACAATATTTAAAAAAAATTTTTAAGATGGCAATACACCTCCAAATTGGTTTAAGACTCAATGCAATCTCTATCAGATCCCAGCTGACTCTTTTATATAAACTGACAAGCTAATTCTAAAATTCACATGGAGCTGTAAGAGATCCAGAATAGCCAAAGTGATAGAGGGGTGGGGGTGGGGAGATGGGAAGAGAGAGAATGAAGGAGAACTCACACTTTATGGATTTCAAAACTTTCTGAAAAGCAATAGTAACTGAGACAGTGTGGTGCTGGTATAACAGACATAGAGATCAAAGGAATAGAACTGAAAGTCTAGAAATAAAGTCTTATATCTATGAGCAAGTGATTTTTGACAAGAGTGCCAAACACCTTCAATAGGGAAAGAATGGTGTATTGAACAAAGAGTGTTGGGACAACTGGATAGTCATATACTAAAAACTAGAGTTAGACCCTTACATTATATAGAAAAATTAACTCAAAATAGATCAAAGATATCAACGTAAGAGCAAAAACTATAAAATTCTTAGAGAAGAAAAACAGGGATAAATATTCATGACTTTGAATTTGGCAAATAATTCTTAGATATGATATCCAAATGACAAACGACAAAAGAAAATAATACTTCATTAAAATTAAAAATTTTGTTCTTTGGGGCATGTGGCTTCAGTTGGTTAATTGTCTGACTCTGGATTTTAGTTCAGGTTATGATTTTACGGTTCATGAGTTTGAGCCGCACATCAGCCTCTGCACTGACAGTGTGGAGTCTGCTTGGGATTCTGTCTCTCACTCTCTCTTTGCTCCTCCCCTGCTTGTGCTCTCTCTTGCTCAAAATAAATAAATAAACTTAAAAAAAACCTGTTCTTAAAAGGGTACAGTCAAGAAAACGAAAAGAATGGGGAAAAAACTGCAAACTATGTAACTTATAAGGGATTTGTATCTAATATATGTAAAAGAAGAAAGTTACAAAACGATGCATGTATGTATGATAGTAAATTCAATTTAAAATATGCACATCAGAAGAGACAAGCCTCATCTAATTTTTAAGAATAGGAATAAACAAAAAGTATGGATTTAATAAATCAATAAATATAATTTTACTTACACCTACTCCATTGGCATACATGTTATATTAAAGTATAATGTTCAATAAATTTATACAGGAATTTTCTATTTTTTATTTGCTTAATCATGCCTTAAAATTTTTGTTCCTAGAGAATATTATCCCATGGAGATGTAATCCTTCCAGTCCAGATTTTCTATGGATGAAGATCTGAGAGTATGGCTGCAATCCTGGCACTTGAGTTTCCTTGGCATGCTTCTAATAGCAAAATAAATTATACAAGGCTGGCACCTTGATTCACATTTTGGCAACCTGGACTGGACTACTGCAGGTCCAGTAGTACATTAAGACACACCTGATTAAGCTTCTTGGGGAACTGGATTAGAAAATGAAAGAAATAATATCGTACTTGTACCAGGCAGCTGAGAACCTGGCTGTCTATAGTTAACCAAATCAGTATTATAGGTTCACTCTTTCCTCTACAAAAACTACTTTGATGAAAGGCTAGAAGATGTTAGATGTTAGGAAATTTACCTTCTAGCAAGCAGGTTTCTCAGAAACAAAATATCAAAGTTGAAGTTGAAGAGGGAGATCAACTCTTTTCTATTTGCTATTCAATCTCTCCATTTTCCACAGAAAGAGTTTTGGTCACTGGAAAATGTGTTTTAAAACATTCCAAGTTCTGATCAAATATCCAACTCTTCATATTTTAGAGCCTGAATTTAGAGGATGCTTCAGGAAGGGTGTATTCCTAAAGATTTGCATGATTCAAACCTTGTGTAATTCAACACTAATTTTCTCAAAGAAGAAATGTAACATAAAATACATTTTAATTTACAAGTATTTTGATGTAAAATGAGAGGTTAACATCCATGGAGCACATGAAGCAACAAACAGTGTAGTGTATACATACTATATATGTATATATGTATGTATGTATATATGTAGACATATATGTATATATATTAACTTTAAAGCTTTCAAAATGTTTTTCTTAACATTATCTCTAATATTCTGTAGA